AAAACTATCACTTTTGAATAAAAATGCTAAAATTAAAAATTCTAAAAAGATGCTAATGGAATACATATTAAAATAACCTACTAAATACTTAATATATGGACAAGAAAGAAAGGAAATATGGCTGAAAAAAATTTTAAAACATGTTATAAATAAATACTTTAAAAAATTTTAAATATAAGTGGTCATATAAATGTGACTTAAAATAGCAGTATAAATTCTTTCTCCTACGTGAAAATATCTAAGATTTCAAAAAGCATATTTTATGCATTGAATTTTGTTTGTTCACTTTCTCCAGATAATTATTTGTTTATGCAACTGTGATAATTATATACATACAAACATTTTTGAAAATTATTTCTTAACAGCACATGAGTTTAACATGTTATAATTCATAAAATGAGGAGTATATTTACTGCAGCTAGGATTACTCAGCTCAGCAGACCCAGTTTCTAGGGGGGCTGAGGAAGGAAAATTGGTGAGCCCAGAAGTTTGAGTCCAGCCCAGGTTGGACATAGAGAGACCCTCAGCTCCAAAATACAAACTAACAAAAAATTACTCACTTCAGTGAAAAAAAAAAAAAAAAGTTAATAGATGTTTTAAAATGTATATATGTACATATATATGTATTCTGGAATACAAAATTTTAATACATTAGCTATTAAAAAAGAGCTCCATACATATTTATACCTTGGACTCTGGAAATACTGTTCTAGGAATCATTTCTAGGAATATGATATGAAAAAAATGGTCTTTAATACAAAATTTTAAAATGATTGACTGGGTGCAGTGACTCATGCCTGTAACCCCAGTAGTTTGGGAAGCCAAGGTGGGCAGATCATTTGAGCTCAGGAGTTCAAGACCAGCCCAGGCAACAGGGTAAAACCCCATCTCTGCAAACAAAAAAAAAAAAAAAAAAAAAAAAGTTGGGTGTGGCAGTACAGGACTGTAATCCCAGTTACTTGGGAGGCTGAGGTGGCAGGATCACTTGAGCTTGGGAGATTGGTTGAGGCTACAGTGAGCCAAGATCACACCACTGGTCTCCAGCCAGGGCAACAGAGTGAGACCGTCTCAAAAAAATGAATAAATAAAATAAATGGATTGTTTGAGCATTTCTTGTTTACATTTTAATTCTGTTATGATGATTTTTGGTCTGATGCATTGTATACATATTGTCAAAATATTAAAAATAGACATTAAAAATAGACAAAAAATATGACAACATTAACAATCTTATCATCCAGGTATATACAAACACTGTTCACTTTCTCCAGATAATTATTTCTTTATGTAATTGTGATAATTATATACATCATAACACATATGAAAACACATTTAAAAATTATTTCTTAACAGGACGAGTTTAACATGTTATATTTCATAAAATTAAAATTGAAATAAGTAAACAGTAATAAGCTGAACATTAAATTATAAAATTCATTAAGCTATGATATTAAATTAGGTTAATTTTCTATCTAACTGAAATTTGTATGCAGTCTCACATTGTTTATATTATAACTAATAATTATAATAAATACTGGGAGAAACATTTTATGATTAAGGGGAAAGATCAGAAAGGTGGTTGAAAATATAGTGGAAATTATTCCTTTTATAAATTAATCCAAGAAAGCAGAACTATAAAAAAATTATTAGTAATTCAGACAGAAAATCAAACACTGCATATTCTCACTCATAGGAGGGTGATGAACAATGAGAACACATGGACACAGGGAGGGGAGCATCACACACAGAGGCCTGTGGGAGGGAACTAGGGGAGGGACAGTGGGGGGTGGGGAGTTGGGGAGGGATAACATGGGGAGAAATGCTAAATATAGGTGATGGGGAGGAAGGCAGCAAACCACATTGCCATGTATGTACCTATGCAACAGTCCTGCATGTTCTTCACATGTATCCCAAAACCTAAAACGCAATTAAAAAAAAAACTACTGGTTGAAATTTAAGCAAATGAACAAGAAAAAAAAAGAAATATAAAGAAACGTGTATCAAAGTTAAAACTCTTAAATCTCAAAATCATTTTTTAAAAAGTTTCTTGTTTTTGACAACTGTCTTATTTATCTATTTCTGTGTAACAAATAACCCCAGAACTTAGACCCTAAAATAACAAACATTTATTATGTCGTAGCTTCTTTGCCTGAGGAGTCTGAGTGTGACTTTTCTTGGCCCTTTTGTTCGGGGTCTCACAGGCTGCAATCAAGGTGTCAGCCAGGACCGCAGTCAGCTCAAGCTTAACCAGCGAGGATTAGCTTCCAAGCTCACTCATGCATTTGTAGGCAAGATTCCATTTTGGGTTGTTGGAACAAAGGCCTCAAATCCTTGCTGGCTGTCCTAGTTCTTTACAGCATGTACCTCTCCATAAGGCAGGAAGTACGTGGCAGCTTGGTTCAACACAGCAAGCAAGCGAGAACCAGAGAAACAGAATGTGTAAGAAAATGCTAGCAAGATGAGAGCCATGGTGTTTTTGTGACCTAATAAGTCACATACAATCACTTTTGCACTATTCTATTCCTGAGACGTGGGTCACTAGATGTAGCTCACACTTAAGGGGTGGGGATTATCCATCTTGCTTCAATACCAGGAGAGGGATCACTGAGGACTGTCTTAGAACCTGTGCACCACTGTGACACATTTAGTGAGAGTATGGTATGTGATAATGCCACTCAAAATTCTGAACAGTTTTTGGTTGGACAGTCTCATGAATGACAGAGATGGTAAATTGATAAAACTTTCAGGATACCCATCTGAAAATAAATATTAAACACCATGTTTTATTTTAATCTGACCAAAACTATCTATTGTTAGGTCTTTAAAGAAATGCAAATGCATGTGCACAAATATATATACTTATAGTAATTGGCCATCACAATGTGGTTAAGAGTAACAAGAGGAATCATTTTGAATTTTTACAATATGGATTGGTTAAATGACTGCATACTTAGCTTTGCTATTTTAAGTAATGTTTAGAATAATGTCTATTGATATAAGATAGATAAAAACAAATGACAGAGTAATGAAATAATATATGAACCTCTTTCCATTACCATCTGTGTAGCCTATCCCTCTATCTATCTAAGCATCTATCTCTCTGTATAAAATGTTTATCTACAGGTTCTGGGATGGCAGATGCTTTCTTTTAACTTTAGTTTTTACTTAATTAAAATTAATACAATAAAAATTAAATTTACTTTAATGAGAAACAGGTAACATCTATTTTATTTTAAAGAAGTTATAGAATTGTAACATAAAAAGTAGAAGCAAATACATTTGCTTTTCAAAACACCTGAAAAAGAGAGAATAATAAAAAGAAAGGAAGGAAAGAATTAAAGAATAAAGGCAAGAAGAAGGAAAAAAAGAAAGGAAGACGGAAAAAGAAAAAGGAAGAAAGGATGACAGAATAGGAGGAGGGAGCATGGAGAAAGAAAGAAAGATTATATTACCATATTTAACTCTCTATTCTACTTTACTGTGGTGAATTTAATTTAGCTTGATTTGTTCACAAGTTACTGTGTGCTCATTTTCTATCACTGCATAAACCCTCACATATGTTGAATGATAGATTAAATATTTTATTACTTTCTTTTTAGACAAAAACTTTGGAAGACATAAAGCAGAAATCTATTTTATATTTTAACAGAATAAAAAGATCTTTCTTTTTTTTTCTTTTTTATTGCATTTTAGATTTTGGGGTACATGTGAAGAACATGCAAGATTGTTGCATAGGTACACACGTGGCAGTGTGATTTGCTGCCTTCCTCCCCATTACCTATATCTGGCATTTCTCCCCATGCTATCTCTCCCCAACTCCCCACCCCCCACTGTCCCTCCCCTGTTTCCCCCCCAACAGACCCCAGTGTGTAGTACTCCCCTCCCTGTGTCCATGTGTTCTCATTGTTCAACACCCACCTGTGAGTCAGAACATGCGGTGTTTGATTTTCTGCTCTTGTGTCAGTTTGCTGAGAATGATGGTTTCCAGGTTCATCCATGTCCCTACAAAGGACACGAACTCATCGTTTTTGATGGCTGCATAATATTCCATATTTGTGTGCATATTGGAGGGATATATTCTCTAATAAATGATGTATTACATTCATTCTCTGAAGGGATGCAAATAATTAAAAATTCTGGTAACTACTGACTTATTGGACAATGTAACAGTTTTGTACACTCGATGGAAGTCTTTGTTTCTTATGAAAATATTTTGTTGCTTAATTATGTACAAGTTCTTAAAGACAGAAAATCATGCATATGTCATTTAATATGTATCACCATATAAGTTGAGAAATATTGAATTGGAGACTGGAGGTCTCTGTTCCTCTTCCAGATGTAAGGCTGTCTAAGTACATAGCTTTAACATTTGAGTATCAGTTGGAAATGGAGTGAATCATAACTACCTCTCAGAGTTACTGTTGTTAAAATTTAGTGAAACCGTATATAGAAAAAAAAAACTAAACTGTAAGCAAATAACTCAGATTGTTACTAGGTAATTCCATCATTCATGTACAATCAGCAAGTACTCTACTGGAATTATAGAAATGCTCAGTAAACTTATTAGCATAGTTATTTTAAAAACATGTCAAATTTAATTAAGACTTTAACATTTTGCAGATGTTTGAACCAGTTATTGAACATAAATAAAAGAAAGAGTACATAATTTTAATTAGCTAAATTGACTACTAAATGGGCAGGAATGTGTGAACACATCTGTGAACAGAAGTTTCTTTATAAAAGTATCCGTTGCAACCACAAAGCCAAACAATATTTGTATGAGCATATTGTAAAATCAATGAAAATATGTTATCATTTAAAAATGTTGCCATGACATTAGTCTGTAAAGTCACACACTGACTCAGTAGAATTCATTGAATTTTTTAGCAGATAATTGTTATGCAAAAAAATTGAACTGCATTTAAAATTAATTGAGTTCAGCTATTTTCTCAGGAAAAAATATCCTCATATAATTTCTATCTACTTCCATTTCTATGTGCAGAATAAAAGAACATGACAACATGATAGCTGAAATTTCATTCAACTTTACATTCAAAAAAAATCTATATATTTGGACCAAAGATGAATTACAGATCTCTCAGAAATTATGCTATAAGGTAAAATTCCATAAAAATTGTTCTCTTAATAGAACCAATGTGAAGATATTATGATATAGCATTTTCAAACATTTTATTTATGAAATATATTTTAAGCCAAAAACATATTAAAGTATTGCAATTCAGTCATTTTAGTTTTATAGTTTATCAAATTTTAATAGTTCACATATTAAAAAGAAGCAATATTTTCTTAAGTATGGAATCATATGGGTAATTCATAATTTATTTTACTTAATAAATATTAAATCTTGACATCATGATTGATATAATTTCTATTCCCAATTCAAAATCTTAATGTATGTTTGAGAATATGTTTATTATGACACCAAAAATAAGTATATTTGAGTTTAACATTTAATCTTAGAGCTATGAGAGACATTTACATGAGGAGCAAGCACTTTTTTCTTGCTAATGCAATATTCTGTTTTAGAATACAGTTGGCCTTTTGTGTTTGTGGATTCTCCGTGTGTGGATTTAACCAACCACTAATCAACACTGCAGACTCCAAAAATCGGTGGAGAAGAAGAGGGACAAGGACTGAAAAACTGCCTGCTGGGTATGATGTTTATTATTTGGCTGATGGGTTCAACAGAAGTCCAAACCGCAGCACTACACAAAACACTCATGTAACAAATCCATACATATATTCCCTGAATCTAAAAATGTATGTATATGTTCAAAAAATTGTGTCTGTACTATGTACATTTTTTCTTAACAACTATGGACTTAGTATTTACCTTGTATTAGGTATTATAAGTAATCTAGAAATGATTTAATATATACAGAAGGATATGCATAGGTTATATGCAAATATGATGCCATTTTATATTAGGAACTAGAGTATCTGCAGATTTGGGTGTGTGCAGAATGTCCTGGTAACAATTCCCCATAGGTACGAAGGAGGATTGCAGTTCTAAGAATTGAATCAGAGCTAGATTATCTGCTCCTTATAAATACTATATATATATATATATTTTTTTTTTTTAGATAGAGTCTTGCTTTGTTGCCCAGGCTGGAGTCCAGTGGCATGATCTTGGCTCACTGCAACCTCTGCTTCCCGGGTTCAAGCAGTTCCTTGCTTCAGCCTCCTGAGTAGCTGAAATTACAGGCATGCATCACCATACCCGGCTAATTTTTGTATTTTTAATAGAGATGGGGTTTCACCATCTTGGCCAGGCTGGTCTTGAACTCCTGACCTTGTGATCCACCCACCTCAGCCTCCCAAAGTGCTGGGATTATAGGCGTGAGCCACTGTGCCTGGCCATACTTATAATTTTTATTCTTTGGATTAGAACAGCAGTGAGCATCCTTTTTTTCATATGGAAAAAAAGTTGACTCTAGAATGCTTAGTTGGTTGAATGAATAAACAAATGAATAAAGTATAACTCAGTCATTTGAATCTTCATTATTATCATGCTTACTGTCAGTTTGTGTACAGATATAAAGTCATTTTTCAACATAGTGATGCCTTAGATAGAAAAGACATCTCTTAAAGTATAGTCATCTCTCTAATGCTCAATATTTTTGAATCTTTTCCACTCTATTAATTTATCCCTTTGTTCATAAGTTTAGTCCATGTATGTCTATTATTTGTATTTATAAATTGAAAATTTAATAAATTTTGTTTGCTTAACAGGATATCCATAACTCCATTAACCTCAAAACCCTGCTTTACAGAACCTTATCATCACCTTTTATTTTTTCTAATGTTCAAAAATAAATAGGCTGGGCACAGTGGCTCATGCCTATAATCCTAGCACTTTGAGAGGTTGAGGTGGTCAGATGACTTGAGGTCAGGAGTGGAGACCAGCCTCCCCAACAGGGTTAAAATCTGTCTCTACCAAAAATACAAAAATTAGCTGGGTGTGGTGTCATGCACCTGTAGCCTCAGCTACTAAAGAGACTGAGGCAGGAGAATCCCTTGAACCCAGGAGGCAGAGGTTGTGGTGAGCTGAGATCACACCACTGCACTCCAGCCTGGGCAACAGAGTGAGAATCCATCTCACAATAAATAAATAAATAATACAAATTAATTACTTAATAAATAATGTTTGGGGAAATTTTTTCTATAATTTTAGAAAAATTACACATATATTATTACTTTAATCAGCAAAAAAAACCCACTGTTTTTGTAAAGATTGCATATTTTAAAATTTGTATTTTGAAACTTTCACAAAATATGAACTAAATGTACAGTTCTGATATTCAGTGGCTCTCTTTTCAATGGCTTGGCTCACCCTTTGCTCTAAAACAGCCGTATCTATTTTCAGTCTTTTTATTGTCTCTCCTCTTCTTTATATCTCAACTATTATTTCAATTTTTTTGTTTCTTTCTATTTATTTTCATGTTTTTACTTTTCTTTTGGATGACTTGAGTGTATCATTATAATCGAATACTCGTTGCTTATTGCCAGTGAATGATAATAGCTTTGTGTTACCTCTCTTCAAAAATAGTGGGTTTTAGGATACATTTTGTCTTAGCCTGTGATAAAAATTGTACCATATAAAAGCCGTATCTCAATTGTGAACCTCAAATCATTTATGTTATCAGCTCATGCTGAGTTCTTATATTGTGGCAACTCCATATATCTTCACAAACGTGAGATTATTTTCCTTGTTCCTTTTTATGGCAATGTGAATTTTCTTAAATTTAGAGCTATAATAAAGAAGCTGGTTGAAGCCCTTAATGTCTTTTTATCTTTACCTCTAGGATCAAGATCAGCTATATTAAAGATTGATGTAGTCTTTATGAAAATGTGCCTCATTAGTTGGCTGCAAGAAAGTCATCCAGCCTACAAAAGGAAAAAGGTATGTTCTAGCTTTAATATGTGTTTAAATAAGAAAAAATTTCCCATAGCTAATTCTTAAACATATATCACTAAAAGCCCTTCACTCTTGAGATGTAATTATGTTGAAGTGCTCTAAGTGGTGAGCTATATGATAATGGCATTTGAAGGAAATTTTTGTCTAGCATGTAGAAGAGTAAATCAAAGCCAGTTGAGAAGGGACTATGTTTAAGGAAATATTTCCTTATCATGAGAAATAAACACTGCCAAGTACTCCCTATTTTTATGACAACCTAAGACATTAATGCTTGTGAAAGCACTTTACAAATTTTTGAACCTATGCAAATTGTTCCCTTTTTATCTAAAACATAGTATAGAAATGGTTTGCATAGACTTGGAGGTCCTATTATCAAATTAATAGCTGCCAGGAAGAGCAGTTAAACGAGAATGGTTGGGGGAAATTAACTTTTCTTAAAGAATATCTGAGAACAAACAAGAGTAGACACAACTATAAATGAGTCTTGAAGCAGCTAATCATATTTAAATTTCATTCTAAGAGGCACTGCTACCCTTTGTCCTTGATAGAACTTTTGTGTCGTGCTGCTTCTAAGTATAATTAAAGCAATTAATGTGCCATATTCTTAATAAATCACTATCTTTCCATAGTATGCTTACAAGCTAGTGGGATATGTCTTATGCCACAGGTTTTTGAAATGCATTTTATGCGTATAGAAAATCTAATTAGATACAACTCCTCCTACTGGACTGTTGGGAGCCCAGTATATAGGCATAGGGCTTAGAAATAATGATTTACTTTTCAAAGAAAAGTGGAAAGTGGAGACATTTTATATCCCTGCATTTTTTATTCACACCTTTCACTTTTGAGTAATATTTTATCTATATTAGAACTTCTTGAACAAACAAATGCACCCTATTCCATATTTAAGAATCATTTGTGGTTCTGAGAGATTATTTTTAGTTACTGCTGTTTTGGGGTATTAATCCACAGTAGCAGATTAAAGCAAGTTGCACAAAGAAATGACACCATGCTGATAACACCAACAACAGCTATGTTCAATGGGCAGACAATTTCGAGGCTTAAGAGAAAGGAAAGTGAATTAAAGGCACAGAAAGCTGGCACACAGGGCTGCACAACAGAATACATGTGTATCTCAGTGTTGCTGGATATAATATCCCAGAAGTAGCCTAAAATCTGGAATTTTATGTGAAATACTGTTTTTTTTTTTTTTTTTTTAAAAAGAGTGGCCCAAGCAAAGCATGTCTGCAATTCATATGTGCTTTGTCAGATCTAATTTTTTTCAGACCAAATGTATTCTATCAGAACTTTATTAGATTGCATGTAATGAAAAAAGTTGGTAGTTATTAATTAACAATCTCTTTTTTCATATAAAGAGAATCTTCATTTAGGTAGTTGATGATATTAAGTAGTTCCATATAATTTGTTTCCTTCCATCTGTTTTACTCTGACATTCCTATACAGTGGCTCCCACCTTATGGGCCAAAATAAGCACTGTGAAAGAAAATCGAAACTATGGACCCAAACTCACTATGCCAAAGGGAAAGTTAGGCTTGGGAACTGAGTCACACAATACTACTTTCCCTTTGTTCCCAAACAGAGCTGTCATTTAACAACACTTGTATTGTTAGCCTCATGTGTGTTTTACCCTCATTCATAAGCCAGGTTCCCACAATCATAGAAGGCCACATATCTCCCTCGATGGCCTCCCCCACAGATTGCTCACAGTGAAATTCACTGTGAGCCCCTAAATCTTTCAGGATACATATCCTACCTGTAAACTAGCCTGAAACTGCGTTCTGTTGAATCATGATGATGTCAATTACTAGCTTATCTTCACAGCTACAGGACAAGACCAGAAATCATCCTTGCACCTACACTGAGAGGAATGCATGATTGACTTCCCTCTTCTCCCTCTTTTCACATCTTTATCTTATGTAAAATGTAGATGTACTGAGTACAGACAAATGCATAATTGACTTTTTCCTCTGTTCCCTCTTTTCACATGTAAAATGTGGATGTAAGGAGCCCTAATCAGAGCCTCACAATAATGTAACCATTTGCCTCACTGCCTACCTTTCCTTCTTTTTTGGCCTCTTGCTTACTCTTTCCCCTTTAAATATAGAAGTTCCCCAAGTCTTTGAAAAAAAACACAGGTCACAGAGGCTCCTGTGACTTGTGTTTTCCAGGGTGCATCTTCAATCTTTGACTAAACAACCCTCTTATATTCGAGGCATCTGGCTTGGTCACTTTTTGGTTAACAATCCTAACGCTTATTCCATTGCATTCTTGTTCCAGACTATCCTCTTAGGTTTCAATCAGCCTAGTTCTGCTAACTCTTCACATTGACTCAGATGTTGTATTGGCCCATTTTCATGCTGCTAATAAAGAATACCCAAGACTTGGTTAATTTATAATGAAAAAGAGGTTTCATCGGCTCACAGTTCTACATGGCTGGGGAGGCCTCAAAATAATGGCAGAAGGTGAAAGAGAATCAAAGGCACATCTTACATGGTCACAGGCAAGAGTGTGTGAGCAGGGGAATTGCCCTTTTATAAAACTACCAGGTCTCGTGAGACTCATTCACTATTGTGAGAACAGCACAGGGGAAACTTGCCCCCATGATTCAATTCCCACCCATGACTCACCAGGTCCCTCCCATGACAAGTGAGGATTATAGCAATTTAAGATGAGATTTGGGTGGGAACACAGAGCCAAACCATATCAGTTGCCAATGAAATACATTCGAATTTATGGTTTATTAAAAGGCTTTTACACACCAGCAATCATGCACATACATTCACCACACACACATTTAGTAATAAGAGAAGAGGTAACAAACCATAGCAAGTAGTGTGGGAGACCAGCACACTAAGTGATGAGCAGGGCAGCTCTGGATTTCCCATGACATGCTGACGGGGCTTGGGGAGGGGGTTGACTGCTCTTTCGAAGAAGAGTTTTCTGTGGCATCTGTGGAGAGAGGGCCTCAGAGTTTTCATGAGCAGAGCTTCTGCAGGCATCTTGGCCATGATCGGCTTCCTTGATGTGTTACGGCCCTCTGTAGGAATGTCCAGGGTCATTATCTAAGCTACCTTTTCGCTTCACTTTCTTACTTGATCTTAGGGATGCCTGGGCACAGCAGGCATTGTCCTCACCTCAGTCAGTTATTCATATGTTTTTCACTTTGAGTAGTCGGTAGTTTCTCTGTGGGCTGAGTCACTTGTCTTAAGTGACTCCATTTTGATACATTTAGGATCACAAAAATTTAATATATAGCACAAACAAAAAGTCAGAGGAAGGTAAGATTTTAACACTTCTCTGTTGAGAAAATTGATAGATACCACATGACCCGTCTGCTTTTGTCTAACAGGGCAGAACTTGTCACATGGCCATTTGATAGGCCAGATGGAAGTGGGAGTGTTGTCTTATTTTAGGTGACCATCAGCCCAGATAAAAGTAAAGCATTTTATCATAGAAGAAGAAGAGGAACTATATAATGTCATGAACAATGATGAAGACTCAGCAGCAGAATCTTTTAAAGACTAAAGACAGGAAGTTGCAGAGCCTGATTGACTTGAATAAAATTTTCTTTCTTCAATTTACTAACCATGTGACTTTAGGCAAGTGATATTAGCAAACAAGCATTAGCTGCCTCATCTGTAAAAAACTAATATTAAGGTGTTTACTCATGTTTATTATAAGATGGGAAAAAATTCTTAGAATGATGCCCATCACATAGTAAGTGTTAGAAGATATTAGCTATTCACAATATTGACACAAAATAGTGAAAGAGAAGCTCTTTCAAGACAGCAGGAAAAAACATCTGATAGGAGTCTAAGAATGACCTTAATCCACAGATTTGGAGAGAGATAGTCTTAAATAGGCCATCCATAATTTATAATGCACCAACTTTCCTAAGAATTTAGGACTGCTTAAAAGAGCAAACATGTTTAATACCTTAAAGGAACTTAAAGTGGAACAAATTCAAGGTAAGAAAAAAAATAATACTGAAAAACTCTATGTGGATAGAGTTTATAAATTTCCCTGTTCTATAAATTATGACACTAAGGCAGAGTGTGCTTAAATAATCTTCCCAAGGTCACCTGGCTAGGAAATGTTGAAGTGAGGGTACCAAGTCAGACAGTCTGAATTTCTAAAAGCATAATATTAGCTACAAAACCAACTCAAAGGGAAGAATATCATTCAATAGACATGGGAGTCCAATTAGAGATCAGGCAGCTTTCTCTATCTTTGACTTTCACAAGGATATGCAGAAGAAAGAACAGGTATGTTAAGTATCAGAACTATCTGCAGGCCTACTGGTGCTAGGGTAACAGAAATACAGAATTTTGCTCTTTTTTTATGGCTTTGGTTTTCTTCAAAACATATACCTTACTTTGGAGGCTGTCTTAGTTTTATTTATTTATTTATTTATTTATTTTTTGAGGGAAGAAAGCAGTAGCAAAATTACTAGGAATGCTTAAAACTTTTAGACTTCCCAGTCAATTATTTTTGTAAAAAAGTATTTAAAGAGAATCCTTTTTTTTTTTTTTTTTTTTTTTTTTTTTTTTTTTTTGTCTGAGATGGAGTCTTGCTCAGTTGCCTAGGCTGGAGTACAATGGCGTGAATCTCAGCTCACTGCAACCTCTGCCTCCCACCTCTCAGGTTCAAGTGATTCTTCTGCCTCAGCCTCCTGAGTAGCTGGGATTACAGGCACTCGCCACCACAGCTGGCTAATGTTTGTATTTTTAATAGAGATAGGGTTTCACCATGTAGGTCAGGCTGGTCTCTAACTCCTGACCTTGTGATCCACCCACCTCAGCCTCCCAACTTGCTGGGATTACAGATGTGGGCCATTACACCCGGCCGAGAATCCAATTCTTTTTTTTTTTTTTTTCTTGAGACAGAGTCTCACTCCGTCACCAGGCGGGTGCCAGGCTGGAGTGCAGTGGCGCGACCTCGGCTCATTGCAACCTCCTTCTCCC